TCGTTGGAGGCCTCCCGCACAAAAAACTTCCCATAGGGATTCTGAGTGAAGTGGATCCAAAGTGGCCATCACCTCACTTTCTGACTCGAAAACACTCACATCAAAACCTGGTGATACAAGCTTTCGCACCACATTGTCTGCTTGCGTCTCTGGGTGCTCGGTCATTGCCTTTAGCGATCGATTCACCTTTTTGAGCTGGCCATGCGTCAAAGCCTTGCCCTTCCCGAACTCCTGGCTCCACATAGCCATCTCTTCTTCATCTTGAAACATTGCCAAAGCAACCTGGGAAGGCTTCAGCTCGCGAGGCAACCAACCATGTTGAGCATCCCATGATTGACTCGTCTCATCCCAAAGTAAAAAAGATCTTGGCAATGACATGTTCCACGGTGCCGAAAACCTCTTTGGGCCAAATGCCCTCATTTGCAACCGTCGTCCATTGCGCAGTTGCGGCTCGGAGCTCTGAAGCCCCCATCCGAATGGGCCGCTTGGTTCGCTTGCACTTGGGCCATGAAGCCCTGCATCCACGCCATCTGCGCTTTCACCTCGGCTAACTCTTGCTGGTGCTTGGCATTCTGGGCCTCCAACTGGTTGCGGTAGCCCTCCTCCATCTTCTCCGTTTGCGCCGGCATTGCTTGATGCATTTCCATAGCCTGTTGATTCACGTGGTTCTCCGCCCGGCTCTGAATCTTGAGGATCTCCGCCTGGAACTTCTCCTCGCTCTCCTCTTCCAGGTCCATCTTCTCGCGGAGGTTCTGCTGCTCCGTCGTGTCCCATTGGAAGAAATCGCACACGCGGCTTTGGCAGCGGAAGAAGTGGCGGCCTTCCGTCGGCCCTTTCTTTTTCACCTCCCAACGGTGAGCTGGCCTGTTGCACAAGCACTTCACCACTGCATCCATCGGCCCGGCACTCATGAACCTTCGGTCCTTCGACGGTGTCGCCGATGAGCCCGGAGTCATTGCCAACTCCGTGCGCCTCTTGAGCTCCTCCGGGGTGAGGTGCTCCCAACGGCCTTTGCACACGTTGCAGTAGATCTCCCGCTTGTGCTGACTCCCAGCTCCCTTCAACTCCGCCATCGGGTGTCAGCACTCGGAGAACGGGATAGCAGGTTTCTCCTTCGTCTGTCTCATGCCCATAAAGTCCGTAAACTTGATCACCTCGGCATATACTCCAGCTGGGCACCGAGCGTTTTCGACTTCACCGGGGCGGCGTGCCGTCTTGGGGTATAAGGTGATGGGTCCTCCAGAGAGGACTTGAGCCCGCAAAGCGGCCACAAGGAGCTTGGAAGCCCACCCTTTCGCGCACCGCCAGCAACATCATCAGATCTGCCAGCCTTTCCCCCACCAGCCTCCAGCGGTGAAGGGCTCGTCGGGCTCGAAGCGCACCCGCCGGCAGCTGGGTTCTCGGTCACGCTCTTTGGTCCCTCTGCGCGAGCATCTGCTCCAAGAGGAGTCGAGACGCCATGAGTGGAAGAGGCAGAGAGATCGTTCACTTCAGCACTCTCGAGAGCAATCATGCTGTGGTTCATGAAGCCGCTGCTTGCGAGCGTGAACTGCTCATGCTTCAAACTGGAGCACACTGCATCGTGAGGAATCTTCCAACCCCCTGGTGCAAACTCGGTGACTCCCACTGACACATGCCCCGAAGGTAAGTCCACAAGCGGCGCCTTGACGCCGTAAGCCTTAAACTCGAGGTGGTTTTCGTCGAGGTCGACCACGGCCTTCAACTGCTTTAGCAGCTTGATCGGGAGCAGTAAGGGAACTTCGTCGGCAACGACAGTCAACTCCATCAAACCGTTGACCCCCGCTATTCCCAATGGCACTTCTGCAACCCCAATGACCTGGGCCTTTCCGCCAACTCCGCATGCTTGAGCTTTCTTGGTCCTGTTCCAGTTGACTTTCAACCCAAAGTCCCTCAGGTTAGACATAAGCCTGAGCAGCGCAGCCTTCCGATGAGACCGTCTCGGGCCGCTGTGTCCACGACGCTCTGCGACGGGCAAGTGACAACCCCAATGAAGTTTGGAGCGTCCTCGTTGCCTGCCACGCCATTCTCCTTCTCGAACTCGGAGTTGTTCCTGCACACGACACCACGAAGAAACTTGCCGAAAGTGGGCATGTAGGACAAAGCGCTTCACGACGGCCATGATGCTCTGCGGGCTTGAGTCTCCCTGGCTCCTAACGAAGAACCCTGATCGCCCGCTCTGCGAAGACGGCGCCGAGGAGGCACTCCTCATAGCCGATGCCGCCTTACCCCTCTCTTGGCCCAGTGACCTATCTGGCCACATCTTGCGCACCTCGTCCGAAGTTTCAGCATGTCAACATGGATCTGCGTGCCGCCCTTTGCGAACTTCACGTAGTCTTTGTTCTTGAACGCCAGCGTGGGTCGCTGGTCCTTTGAGCCCTTTCCTCGACCCTTGGAACCGGCCGAGGCTCCTCCTTTGGAGCCAGGACGTGGATAGTATCCCCGGCCCGTCTTCTGGTCCCTGATCGACTTTCTGACGTCTTGATAAGTCGCAAGAGCTTCCTGAACATGCATGTTCTTCCTCGTAGATCTCCTGCATCTCGCCTTCGCCGATGTAGACGTAGTCCTCGTCGTCGCTCACCTCCTGCTCCTCCAGGAACACCTGCTGGTTCTCGTCCTCGGGCTCGTCGTGGTCCTCGTCGCCCTCGTCGAAGTAGGCGACGCCCCGCTTCTTTCCCTCATGGATATTCTTGTCGAGGCGTCTCAACCCCTTGACGACAGCAGCCCTATCGTACTTGCCTTCTCCCCAAGTCAGCATCTGATTCTCCTGGCCCTCAGAAAGATTCGCCCCCCTGAAGACGATGTTTCCTAAAACCACATCCCCAAGCTTCACTCCCTGCCTCTCGAGCTCCTGGCAGGCTCCATGCGAATCACGAACTCGCCGAAGGTCTCGCGCGAGCTCCGGACGTCCCCGTAAATCGCCTCCTCGAAAGCCCTGGGAAGTGAGGACTCCAGGTGGGGAGAGAAGTGCTCCTTGAGGGCCTTGACGAGGTTGTCTCGCCCCTCTTCACAAGCTAAGTCCTCGAACGACAGGCTGTCTGCGGCCGCTCTGGCCGTCCCAGTGCGTTGGGGCAATATCTTCACGCCCCACTTCTGCTTTGGGATCTCCGTATCGAACTCCCATAAACAACCACCTGTCGAACGTCTTATCCGGCAGCTTGCCATCGTAGGGAGGTGGAGGGTCCCGATCCTTCCAACCAAAGTTCCCAGACGAGTTGCCCTGGCCGGAAGGTCCGGAGGCCTGCGAAGGATTCTGAGCCTCCGCTGTCTTTGGAGGCATCTTCCAGAAAACACAAAGTCGTCACGACAAGACACTGGTGGCTCCACCGCTCTGGCCACTCGGCGCTCCTGCCCTGCCGAGGTAGCAAGCTCACTCAGGGCTCCGCTACCACCTGAGAAACTCAGGCGGTCAAGTTGCGCAGCACACGCACGATCACAATTTTTCACTGCATACGCCTAAGCTTCATCTGCTGCGTGCCAATGGCAAAAGGGGCCCCTTGAGAGGAAAAGGTGGCCGTGCCATGTACATTTCCAGAAGGTGATCAGGCTTTACAATTCACAGTGGCAGAAGCAAATGTTCATGATGCAGACTAATCACTCAAGTTATCTTGCAGTAACTTTTGCTCCTTGTGTCGCTCATGGCGTCGTTGCCATCATATAAGTTAAAGACGCTCTCTCATTCGGCGATTCCCTTCATCATATAATACATCTTCAGTTTAAAACGCTCCCGACCGATGGGGCGATTCCGATTCATCATAAATCGGCTCCATTCTTAAACAGGCCCACAATTTCCTCATATATCTCAAACACGTACCCACATTTGGCGATTCCGATTTTCCTTATATCGTAAACGCGCGCCCCCATTGGGCGATTCCGGCTTATCATTTATCTCAACCCCCCCCCCCATTGCTGACTCCGACTCATCCTGTCCGCCCATTCGGCATTTTATTTTTTATTCCTGTTCATCATACATCTTGAAAACGCCCCTGATTTCGCGATTCCTGTTCATGATAGACATGGTTTATCATTTGGCTGTTCCGGTTCATAAGATAGCTTGAACACGCTCCATCATTTGGTGGTTGAGGTTCATAAATTCTGCTAAACATGCCCCCGCTTTCGGCGATTCCGGTTCGTAGTATATAATATCTTAAGCACGCTTTCTCATTTGGCGATTCCGTCCCATCATGTATCTGCAAAGCGCTCCCGCCCGATTCATCTTGAAACACGCCCATTCATCGGGCAGGTCCGGTTGATCACAACTCATCTTAAAAATGTTCATACAGATCTTAAACTTTTGGCGATTCCACTTCATCAGATATCTTACACACACCTCTTCATTTGCTATGTGTCTGATACACACGTGCCGTTCAAGCAGGACCGGGATATATCTTTGCAGGTGTTAGTCGGTTAGTTACTTGGTTTATTTATGGCTTGTCATGCTTGCCCCACAGGGCATGCATGCTCGTGTGCGTGCGGAACGGGCCCGAGCCGGGCCTGTGCAGCTGTGCATGCGACCACTGCGACCACCGAAAAACATCTGCGTGCTTAGAGGCACATGCTGTGTGAATAGCGGCATACTTCTCCGACAGGCATGACGCATGTGTGGCTGTCAACCTGGCACGTGACGCTTACCATCAGTTTGCGCACCCAGCTCTACGCAGGAAACGTCGGCACTTTCAAGTCTGGAATCCTCTCCAGAAATGCACACGAGAGCCACTCTGCAACATGTTCCGGAAGCTGCTGCACCGACCTTGGAACCCGCAAACCCGCCTGTGGAATCTGATCACGCTCGACAAAATGGTGACAGAGGTAACAAAAGCATCAAGCGTAGCTTCGGGCGGGCGGATGAACATCACTCACGAGCACGACTGCGCGGTTGACAACTGGGTCATGCCATGCAGGTCGCAAGTCCTCTGGCCAAGATGCCCCTGCGGCGTAAATTCTTGAAACTTCTGAAAATCCTCTGCAACTTAGGCGCCGACGGCATCGTCTCCGGTGGCAGATGCAGAGTCCGCGGGCTTCACCTCCTCCTTCCAAAAACTCGTAGGCCCAGGCAAGCCCGGAATCCCGGCCTAGACCCAGACGGCATATTCCGAAGCCGCAGTGCCTCGCCACTCATGGCCGGCTCTCTAACGCATGCTGGCCAGGCAAGGCGTCGGCAGGGCGTCGCAGTCTCGTCACGGGTATAGCTAAAGGCAGGTCTGCGGCTAGTCGCGAAGATAAAGCTATACAGTCTGCTGGTGCCTTACACGACCATGCGCCCAACAATCGCTGTGGGGGTGGGGGTGGGGCGGCTGCTAGGGCGAGGCAAGGAACTGCGGCTCCTGAGGTGTCCTGAGCCGAGAGCCGAGAGCCCCAAGAGTCCTCTCCTCTCTTTTAACGCGGCCCCGCTGGAGAGACCTTCCCCGCTGCCCTCGCTGCCCTCGCTTTTTGCCCTGCGTCGCGCGGTCGCGCGCGCGCCCTGCGGAGTCTCAGCAGCTCAGCGGCTCAGCGGCCATGGCAGGGAATCACCGAAAAACCAGGGCCCTTCTAGCAGCCAGCAGCAGCCAGCAGCAGCAGCAGCTAGCAGGCAGACCCGCTTGAGCAATCCTTGCTTCGAATCGCAGCAGATACGCGGATACACGGGCATGCTCGAATGGCTTTGGCGATGCTAATCAACGGCTGGGGCTAGGGTTCTCTTTTGCCGTGCTTTGCAGCGACGAGTCGAGACTGTTAACAGCTGAAGTCGCGAACACTGCTCAGTGCTCAATGCAGGCACACAGGCACGAAATGCACCGTATGCACGGTTGCCTGTTTCGCAAGCCCGGCGGCACTACTTGAGCTGCGGAACTTACACCTCAGCTTCGGGGCCCACTTCGGCCCACGTGTGACAGCGATCAGGTCCCTGCGCAAGGGCCATAGCAGGGCACACCAAATCCAGCGGCAAGCAGCCTAAGGCAGTACAGCTGAAAATCTGTGCACTGTGAATGTCTGTCACGGAAGTTGCCGCGCTTATCTTCGCAAAACGAGATTCCCAAAACATCAGCTGTTTGCAGTGACTCGTGGACTCTCCTTGGCCTCCGACGCCGGCGGCGGCGAATCAGTTCCACCGCCCGCTACTTAACTTACAAGCCAGGGTGGTTTTGTGCCTCACGGTTCGATCGACAGACCCCAAGGCTCAATACATTCTCACAGACTTTCTGGAGGCTCGGGAGATCGAACAATGTCCGGCCGTGGCGGCAGGACCACCAACACATGGCTGGGGAGCTGAGCGGTGTACCCCAGCTGTCCCAGCAGGTCTCAGCGACTCTGCGCATCTTGCTTGAATCAACCCCGTAGGGCACCAAGCATTGACGTGGCAGGGTGACCAAACAGCTCGGCTTGCACATAGACTCACCCGCAGCGTATGGCTACCGTCAAGCGCCGCGGAGAGCAGGCATGCCGTGTCTATTCGGGAAACCTGATGGACACCACAGTGCCACGAGCTTCAGTGAGAGCCTCCCCAGCTACCAAGGCTACCATTGTCGCTGCACATTTTAACCTACAGGTCGACTCACTTGCAGTGCCTTCGCTTGCCCGGGCAAAGCACGAGCCACATCCGCTGTATTCGTGGCAGGCCTCGAAACCGAGAAGCCCGAAGGCAAAGAAGTCAAAGAAAACACCTCGGCTCGGGCACTAGAAAATGATCGCGCAGACTCTGAGCGGATGCAGAGCTGGAAGGCTGGCAGTTTGACGGGGGCACCTAAGTCGCAGCTTACTGTGCAGAGGCTCTTTTGCAACGAACTGGCACTGGGCAGCAACGCCGCGCACGCAGCTGGCAGCTGGCTGCGATGCGACGATTGGTCCGTCCTCTGCGGGCAAAATGAGCTTGAAGCCGGGAGCTCCTAGAAGCTCCGTGAATGCGATAAAGAGTCTGCGACATGCCAAGTTGTAGGACTCAGGGGTACTGGGGTGCATTGCATGGGATGTGCGAGGTGCTGCGCCGCCACTGGATGGGAAGACCTGGACGCTCTCCCTCGCTACGATCATGGCCACATCAAGTTGCTCTCTGTTGGGGTAGCAGCAGCTTGTGCAACATCTTGTGGGTGAGTCGAGCCTTGCGTGGCACCTTTCGCTGGCCGGAAGCCAGCGAGGATATCAGGAGCTATCATCTATAAAAATGTCGACAGTTACAACCAAATATGAATCATGTGTTCTTGCGAGGCGTGCAGGATATGTCAAACGCATGTTCGCGACCTTCTCCACATTGCACACCAGCGGGACGGCTTGCCAGTGCAACTTAAAGAGACTGGGACAGCGACTGCCGTAGCAGCTCGACGGCGCTAACAAAGGCGTCGGACCGTAGCGAGCTTCCTGCTTAGCACTCGGCTTATCATGCTGGCGGCTTCACGGACAAGGGGCGGTGAAGCAGCATTTGGCTTTGGAGCCTCGACGCTGGCACAACTTGCCTGCTGACCGAGAAGCCACCGGCTGACTCTCTGGTAGCCTTCCCTGGTCTCAGAGAAGCTGCGAGCTGTTCTGACGAAGGCGGATCTGCGACGTCGCCGCCAGCAGCTGCCTTGGACGGATGGCTGCACGGGAACTGCAATGCAATGACAGGCCGGATTGGCCGCAAAGGATTCTCAGATGCTTCCCCAGACAAGCACGACGGGCCACCATGGAGCAGGCGCTGCAAGCGGTGGCCGTGATGCTAGCAAAGCTTGCAGGGCCTCGCGACGGTGTACCACCTGGAACATACGGAACGTGAAGGGCCAAGCGGGCAGAGGGTGACAAACGCAGCGGCCACGTCCGCTGATTTGCTCTCCTCAGGACACCACAGTCGCAACACGCCGGTTCGCATCTGGGTCGGACTCGGCGCACGGCAGGCGAATGCCCAAATGGTCCAAATGGGCAAGCGCCAAAGGAGCATCTGTCAGAAGGAGCATGAGCTGCGAAAAGCCCTGCGGCTGCGGCTGCAGCTGCACCCTGTGTTTCTGTGTCCTCTTTCCAACCAAAGTCAGCAGAGGCCACTCATGTGCAGGGCTGAGCTCCGTGATCCGACACTTCTGACGATCCGAAAACCCGTCAAGAACTACAAAGGGGAGTGCGGAGGCAGAGGCCCAGGCCCTGCCCTAAGTGCAGAGCTAGAACCACTTCTTCCTCACCACCTGGCGACCCCGGCCCTAGCACCCTCGCGAGAGATTCGAGTGTGAACACGAGAGACTCGCTTGACTCGAGACTCGAAAGCTCCATGTCACGACACATCGTCTAAACGCACAAGAGTGGCCGCTCCCGGGGAGACTTTCTACTTATGCCATCGATGACAGCGGAAATCTGCAGGGGTGACCGCAAGCGGGTGCGGGTCAAGCTTGGCAAACCGGGCTCAGGCACGGGACGAAGCCGAGAGAGGAGGCATCGCGACAGCGGCCAGGGCCCTTCGCAAAGGAGTCCCACGTGGAGCTGCGCCACGGCAGATCCGTGTCAGCTCCGTGCCCGAACGGGCGCCAACACTTTCGGCTTCTGCAGGGATCGTGTCAGAGCGGCATACGATCGCAGACTCTGGTTCTCTTTACGCTCACAAGTCTGTCGCTTGCAAACCGCACCAAGTGTTACGGCTAGGAGACTACCGACGTAAACACAGGACGCATGCTAAGGCTCCTCCCAATCAGCTTTTTTTCACGCGAGCGGTCTCCGTACGTGTGCATGAACACAATGAGCACTGAGGCTGACGAACTCCTGAGGAACTTGCAGGGCTGCGGGCAATGGCGAGACTAGAACTGTGAGACGCTCTGAACAGGAAGCGTCCTGGAGTATCATTTTGAAGCTAGGCGAGCGCCTCTGTTGCAGAACGTTTGACCCGGGAATTGAAGCTGCCCCTTATCGGAATGGGCGGAACGCTCACTGACTGGAGGGCGATGTCGACTCGAAGAAGAGAACAGACAGAACAGTGTGAATGTGAATGGGTTGGGATTACACGCGATCTCGGTGGACGAAAGAAGGCTAAAATGTAAACTACTTGGCTGAAGCGCTCACCGGAGCCTGGTCCAATCTCTTGTTGTATGTCATGTGCTCGGCTGCCCATGTGGGCCGAGACGTGGTTGTGCCTTGGAGCTCAAGGCTAGTCGGCTAGATCCGTCAGAGGTGCAGGCGTGGCTCCGACTGTCGACCCCGGGTTAAACTTTCTGGCAGAGCGCTTTCAAGCCGATCTGGGCTTGGCGCTCTGAGGGCCGAGCTTACACGAAGAGCCAAAGCCCGACGGCCCCACACTTTCCACTTTCACATTGGGACTAAAGAGTCTAAAGGTTAGCGCCACTGGCGAGAGGTCGCAGACCTCTTCAATGCCAATTTGGCTCAAGCGGCCGGCACTCGAACTCATAAACATCAGCGAAGGAGCAAATCGAGACATCCAGCTGCAAACAAGCCTCAGACCGGCTCATGGTCTGGAACGGCTAAACTGAAGGGTCGTAGCTTTGCTAACTCTGCTAGCTGCTTGCCCCTTGAATACGGTCAACTCTGTCTGCAAGCACGATTGCAGGGTGTCCTCGATCAGCGAGATCCACCTCGGCATGGCGACAGTCTGGTGTGTCCGGCAAACTTGGCAAGCCGCCAGCGGCCCACCAGCCAGACGATGTCGCACATACATCCCTCGGAAAGGATCGCAGGCACAGGTTGGATGCCATGGAGCCGCGAATAGCTGCGCAATCACTGGCTCAGCGACGTGTTCATGCTGTGGCTGCCGTTCGGGTCGTGCAAAGGCCTCGCTTCACTGACCGCCACCCTGACATAGAAGGTCCCACAGGTGTGTGGCGACTTCATCTCCGAGTTGGCATGACCGGCACCAGGGCTGGCGTCGACTGGTGGCAAAGAGGTTTCTCGCTTGGCCTGACTTGTGCTTGCGAACCCAAAATGCTGCACTTGCACCACTTGCACTTGAAGGGACCGGGAGTGTCCGGGGCAAGGCACTGCTTCAGAGTGCTCGCAGGCATCGCAGCTGCAAGGCTGGCAGGGCTTGATCGAAGAGCTCCGCGTCGAAGTGGGTGAACTTCGTGAACCGTCTGCTCGGTGTGCGCGGTCCCGCGCTGCGCATGTGCAACGTCGCTGCCACGGCCAGGTAGTCGGTGCAGGAACGCGGCAAACGCGAGCCCCGAAGGCGGCGGTCCATCAGACGAGAGTGGGCATGTCGAGCGAACGTCGCATGGCATGCTCTGGCTCCCAGTCCAAGTTCCGTCAGGGAGGGGTTGCCAGGAACCGGCGGCACTTCACAGAGCAGCACGTCCGACATGTCGAACAGGTTGCCCAGGATTTGGTGCTGCACAGTACCCGTGCTTGGCAGTGAACGAAACCGCAAAACCGCAGACAGCTCCCCTGCGCTAGAGGCAAGGGCAGAGGTACCCTCTGCCTCTGATGCGCTCAGGACGCTCAGCTGTACACCAAATTTGCCCAGCCGAGCCGGATGCAGCGGATGCAGGGGATAAAGCAGGCATGGGACAGTCGCATCTCTCTGCGGTGAAAGGGTGGGGCCGGTACGGCTGGTGAAGAGAAAAGGCTAAGGGCTGTATCTGGGCATGTGGCCTCTGAGGGCTTCAAGGCCTTATCGCCCAGCCTTTGATGCGAAGCTGACAGCTGGCACCGAGTTGGAACAAGCGAGTCGGACGGGATGACCTCCCCCGCCTCCTCCTGCTGCTGCTGCTGCCGCTGCGATTGTGGCAGCTGCCGCAGAGTCAGCTTCGTATTCGTCAGCTGCACACGATGTTCATTCATGTTGATGGGGAGAGACCTGAGGCGGCTTCCTCCGCCCTTGGCCTCCACACCAGAGGCTGATGCCTGTCGGCATAGACTTTTGCAATGCCCAGAGGTTCCAACGAAGCAGTGTGCAGGCCGTGTTCCCAGGGGTGCTTGCTTTTCAGAATAAACGGAACAAACGCAACACAACTCAAAACATTCAACTCGCTCTGAGGATCTCTCAGGCGCAAGGAGCCGGCTCGAAGCCTCCCTAAACTTGACTTCCTTCTGCGGCCCATTGAAAAGAAATTTCCAGGTCTAGCGAAGGCTTATAGGCACACTGTAGCCTTCCGACGCTTTGACAAGACTAGATAAGCAAAAATGGCAAGCATGCTGGAACACTGCCACGCAGCAGCCGCAAAGTTCACAATCCAAACCGAGCTCTATTCTATTCCTCTAGGAACGAGATGCATGCTTTGGCACAGGGGCAGGCAGGTCGGGCAGCAAAGTTTTTTGCATGATGGTGCATGCCTGTGCCGACCTGGGATGCCGGCAAGAAGACGAGCGGAGCGTTCGCTGTGAACTCTGTGGCAATTTGGAGAAAAGAAGCATTCTTGCTAGTGATGCCGTGACAGGCCAAAGAAAGCCGAGAGCTTCATGTCCACAGAGCTCGATGACTCTGGTTCGAAAACAAGCGCATTTGTTGTTCAAGCACTCACAGAAGGACCTCCTGGTTTGCGACTGGGTTGGATCCGCAACAAGCACATCTGCACAAGCTGGCCTTGCAGATTGTGGGAAGGCAAAAACCGTCACAAGTGTCGACTGGATCACACTCATGTAGGTTGTTGCATCTCCGATTTTAGTGCCTCACAGCTCTGCAGCTCCGAACATCTAAGCCTGAACGTAGCAGCCCCCATTGCGACAGAGTGCCTGCAAGTAGACATTGCAGAATTTACAATGGCTCAAGTCTGCAATGTCTGTCGCTCTTTCGTTTCTGACTGCACAGAAGAAGCTGCATGGCACCGGCACTGGCATTACCGATTTGGGGACAGCACGCCTCCAGCCAGCACGAGAACAAGCCCCGCTAGCGAAAGCTTCTCCCAGTTGCAGCCAAAGTATGCAAGCATGCTTTCTTCACAATGCCTCCCTGTAGCCATGAAGCTGCTCAGCACGAACAGTGAGACCTGGCAGCACCAACTTTGATTGATGCGCGTCCTGTGCATGCCAAGTGCCCAAGGCCGCAGTGCAAAAAAGCCCGAAATCGGTGACTGGTTGCTTCTTGACCAACCTGGAGGCATCGCCAAGACTTGCCGAAAGCGGTATCTGCC